CAACACTTAAAACTACGAAAAGACAAATAACAAAACATTACACAGTTAAATAAACATCGAACAACACGAACATCCGGGGCGAAGAAAAAGGTGAAATATCAAATTTGTCGCCCCTTAAGAGCCTTGGTCGGCTTCCTTTTCTATTTCAAAGAAATTCTGTCAGCTCATGTGCATAATCCGTATCAGCCTTCTTCTAGTTTAAGGAATCGTGTACAATTTGCGATAGACGCTTTATTGTAAACTAAGTCTACCGTTTATAAAATCATTTGAACGGTAGTCAATGCGAAACAACATATAAGAAACAAACAAAGAAAAACAAATGAAAGTAAATAGATTATTTAATCAGCTTTAATCAATTGTTTTGTTTTATAATAAATTTTAGCCATTTAGCCAATTTCTTAGGCTAAATGTGTGATACATAAAATGATAATTACACGGAATTATTTTCATATCGGTCTTTATTCAATCCCTGAAACCATATTGGGACATCGGGCTCAAGTCCGACAGGGGGTCTCGTGCTGATACAAGGACCGATATGGAAATTTCATGTTATAATCCAGATGATTTCACAATGTATAATACAGTCGAACCTCGTTGTGTCGAACTCGGTTGTGTCGAAAACTCGGATGAGTCGAAGTAATTTCTCGGTCCCGGTAAAATTCCCGTTTCATCAATGCATAATTACCTCTGATAAGTCGAACTCGGTTGATTCGAATACTCGGTTAAGTCGAGTAAATTTTATAGTCCCGTCGAAGTAAAATTAATGTAAATTGACCCCGATGTCTCGAAGTTCGAAAGTAAGAATTTTCGAAAGATGCAGGCCTAATGATAAAAATTCAAATCGGATGTATTTTTAATGTCACCTAATCATTTTCAAAAGAGATTAAAGCTGAGTAAACATACTTGTTTGTATAACAGTTAAAATGACATGTTTATGAAGACCGCTAATTAACACCTTTGTTGATCGTTCAAGCGGAATGTTAGTGTGTTGAACATTCTTCACATGAGATAAAAACGAAACGAATCTAAATGACCAAAAGCGAGATTAAATGAAACGTTAGATTTAAAACACATTAATTACAATTAAAATAAATAAAAGGATTAGGACAATTATAATAAATTCATGATAATTTAATGTAAAGCAGACGACCTCATCAGAGACCGTTCAGAACTTATTTCGTGCCGCTGGGGATTTCATCGTTTATAGTGACTGACCTTTGTAAATATTTGTGTAGGCTATTGATTTTATTTGTGCATGATTTGTATCTGTACTTGTGTGTTTAATTATTACGAAGGACCAAAATGGAGATTGAATACACAATCATAAAGTGTCATATCGAAAAAAGGCACACTGTTCATTGTATCTAGTTTACACAAATCTCATACCGTATTTCATGCATTCCAAATTTATGGCGACACACTCGACCTCGGATGAGTCGAACCTCGGATGAGTCGAATACTTTGGTCCGTTCCCTTCTACTTCGACACAACGAGGTTCAACTGTAATTCAATTAATAACTGGATAGGATTATTTATGAAAAAAATACTTTTCATTTAAGCTTTCGCTTAGAAGGCCATACCCATTAATTTTAAAGGTAATCTGGACTATACATCCAATTCGACTATCCATTCAGGATATTTAAATATCATCTATCCATCTATCCCTATTACCTACACATTCATGTAATTTACATAGCACATTTCCCAATCACCTACACATTCAGGTAATCTACATATCATCTATCCCAAATGACCTACACATTCAGCTGATTTACATATCATCTATCCCAAATGACCTACCCATTTAGGTGATTTTCATATCATCTATCCAAATGACCTACAAATTCAGGGACTTGACATATCATCTATCCAAACGACCTACACATTCAGGGACTTGACATATCAGCTATCCCAATGACCTACACATTTAGTTTATTTACATATCATCTATCCCAATGAACTTCATATTCAGTTTAGTTGCATATCGTTTACTAGTATTCCAATGATCTACACATTCAGGTAATTTACATATCATCTATCCCAATGACCTACACATTCAGGAATTTTACAAATCATCTATCCCAATGAACTACACATTCAGATAACTTACATATCATTTATCCCAATGACTACACATTCAGGTAACTTACATATCATCTATCCCAATGAACTTCATATTCAGGTAACTTACATATCATCTATCCCAATGAACTACACATTCAGGTAACTTACATATCATCTATCCCAATGACATACAAATTCAGGTAACTAATATATCATATATCACAGTGAACTACACATTCAGGTAACTTGATATAAGAAGATGTGGTATGAGTGCCAATGAGACAACTCTCCATCCAAGTCAAAATTTAAAAAAAGTAAACAATTATAGGTCAAAGTACGGTCTTCAACACGGAGCCTTGGCTCACACTGAACAGCAAGCTATAACTATCCAAATGACCTACACATTCATGTAACTTACATATTAACTATCTTAATAACGTAACAGTTTAGAAATAATATGATCAACCTAATAACATAACATACATTACATAAAAGGATGACACCAAAGTTATAATGATAGTTGTTTCCAAATAGTGAATCATTCTTTTCTGAACAACAGTTATGTGATGGATAAATACCATATTTAGTCAGGATTTCTGGAAGTCCTGTCTTCAGCAATGAAAGAACAATCACTGCTACATAAAGTGTAAAGGTTAACGTCTGCTCAATTGGCATATAATACCAGCAGTAAAACAGTTGTATAGTCAATAAATATCAAGATACCAGCAATACAACAGTTGTATGGTCAATAGATATCCAGATACCAGCAAAACAACAGGTATATGGTTGGTAGATATTTAAATACTAGCAATACAACAGTAATATGGTAAATATGTATCAAGATACTAGCAAAAAAAACAGTAGTATGGTCAATAGATATCAAGATACAAGTACTACAACAGTTGTATGATCTAGAGATATTAATATATCAGCAATACAACTGTTGTATGTCTGATATATATCAAGATATCAGCAGTACAACAGTAATATGGTCAATATGTATTAAGACACTAGCAATAAATAAAGGCAACAGTAGTATACCGCTGTTCAATAGCCATAAATCGATTGAACTGAAACAAATCCGGTAAAACAGTAGTATGGTCAATAGATAGCAAGAAACAGGTAATACAACAGTTGTTTGGTCAATATGTATGAAGCTACCAGCAATTCAATAGTTGTATGGTAAATAGATATCCAAATATCAACAAAGCAACAGGTGTATGGTGGATAGATATCTAGATACCAGCAATACAACAGTAAAATGGTCAATATGTATCAAGATACTAGCAATAAAACAGTAGTATGGTCAATAGATAGCAAGAAACAAGTAATACAACAGTTGTATAGTCTGAAGATATCAAGATACCAGCAGTACAGTAGTTGTATGGTCAATAGATATCAAGGTACCAGCAATCAACAGTTGTATGGTGAAGAGATATTAAGATACCAGCGATACAACAATTGTATGGTCAATAGATATCAAGATACCAGCCGTACAATAGTTGTATGGTTAATATATATCAAGATACCAGCAATACAATAGTTGTATGGTCAAGAGATATTATGATACCAGCAATACAACAGTTGTATGGTCAATAGATATCAAGATACGAGCAATACAAAAGTTGTATGGTCAATATGTATCAAGATTCTAGCAATAACACAGTTCTATGGTCAATAGATAGCAAGATACAAGTAATACAACAGTTGTATGGTCAGGAGATATCAAGATACCAGCAGTACAATAGTTGTATGGTCACTAGATATCAAGATACCAGCAATACAACAGTTGTATGGTGAAGAGATATTAAGATGCTATCAATACAACAGTTGTATGGTCAATAGATATCAAGATACCAGCAGTACAATAGTTGTATGGTAAATATATATCAAGATGCCATCAATACAACAGTTGTATAGTCAATAGGTATCAAGATACTATAAAACAGTAATATCGCTATTTTACGTAATTTTCCTTTGATCTTACTGACTGATAATTTCCTTTCGCAGGACAGTAGAGTGATATGAAAAACTATCGCTAGAAACTAAGGGTGCACGTGCCGTTGTCAATGAAATTACCAACGTCGTCATAGGTAAAATAGCGATAAACAGATTATCTTTGGTCATCTCAATTCGATAGCTTTTCTCACGTTCGCCGTACCGGCTCAAGCGAGAAAATCAATCTCGTTGAGATGACCAACGATAATATTTAAGTATGGTCAATAGATATCAAGATACCAGCAGTACAATAGTTGTATGGTCAATAGATATTAAGATACCAGCAGCTTAACAGTTGTATAGTCAATAGATATCATGATATCAGCAATTGAACAGTTGTATGGTTGCTTGTTGTTTTTTTTGTTTTTTTCAGCCATGGCGTTGCCAGTTTCTCTTCGACTTTTGAATGCTCCCTTGGTATCTTCCGTTTCTTTTTTAGAAGGCTTAATTTGGTCTTTTTCGTACATTTTGTAGGACTTTATTTATTCAAATTATGGACAAATTTTATGGCGCAGGCCGGCATCGATCCCTCTGAATAACCAACATGAAAGTGATTGTAATTCGTATTATTTTTGGAAGTCTGATCATCTGCAGGTAAAATTTTGCAATTTATGATTGTATTACAGTATTATACTGAACTATTCGACCAAAATTTATGTCAAACCTAAGTACGTCATATGAAGGAAACAACATATAAACTCATGATTTTATTAATTTTTAAGTGATAGCAAACACGCTTATAACCGGCCGTCTAAAAAAAGTTAATGTGCAATGTTTTGTGGATTGTGGTTCGTCTTTTTGTCCCTTTTCTTTCGATCAAGGTGTTATCTGCCCTAATTCGACTGATTTACAATTGTCCCTCCTTTTACTTTTTTTTTTATTCCAGCGTCACTGATGACTCTTTTGTCTGCCGTATAAAATTTTAAGCCTGGTATCTATGATGAGTTTATTAACAATTGGTTTTATAATTAATCTGTCTTATGTTTTACAGTTTAAGTAATGACAATGGCACTGCTCTTTCTTTATAAAAAGAAAAAAATATGAACTGTTATCATTTAAATCTTTTTGTAAACCATTTCTCGAATGTTTTGTTTTATAAAATCTCAATAGGCTTCCTAATTATTAATTCAATTTCCTATAGGACAATTCTATAAATATATGTTTTTCCCTTGAATACTTCTGGCAATGTTAAGTCCACTACAATTGGTGAACCTTGACAAATTAAATATTGGAAATAAAATTTCTGTCAAATTTCTGCAGCAAACCTTTGTTATTCAAACTTCCCTGATAACTTTTACAGATTTCCCTTTTAAAGGTTTGAATATTTCTAAACGTCGCTCCTTCAGAAAAAAAACGAAGGGAGGGTTATTTTTAGGTACGATTATTTTCTTTTTAATTTCAGTTGTGCTTTACATTTTACATGTGTTATATATCACAGACAATAAACTTTCATCATATAGTCATTGTCAAATCAAACAGGTGTTCCTCTCCATTGTAAGTTCTAACTAGATTGACTCATCATGATCAAAGGCAAAATACTATTGAAATCAGCGTTTGGATTCATAAGTAACATTATCATCCACAAGGGTTGACCAGACTGCATCATCATATACATCATCAATGGATTCATAGCTAAAACGAAATACAAAAAATAGTAAGTAAAACCAAGAACAACTGTAGTGCTTTCTTTTAAACAAACAAAATATCGTTTGTGTGGATATGTTATAGCATGGACCCAGTTCCGATGTTATAACAGGAGACCTTAACATCGTTCATGATGACCGAGAATTGAAATCATTCCTCAGTAAAGGACCTAAATATCGTCCCCCGTCAATTATTAATTGGAATGATTGTCGTAACATCATCTACGACTCACTCCGTACTTAATGCTCGAAATGGATAAAACGATAAAAAGCTGACAAAAAGTCCTTAGATTCTTTTTTAATGCAGTAATGAACATAGTTGATATTCGTATAAAAAATTTTAAAGAACATTTTACTCCTAACAACAACAATTAATAGCCAAATTTCGCGCATTAAACATAAGCTAAAAGATCTCGCCAAGGAATTTGTTTTTGTCCCGGCTGATAAACCTGGTAATAATTTGTTCAAATAAGGCCTTTGAAAATAGTGGAATTAATTACTTTTGGAGTGTCAAAAATTCGTTGGATGCACTTGATAAATTGCATACTTATATTGGTGATTTCGAATGTGTTCAAAGTTTAGATTTTTCTACCCTATATACCACTTTGTCTCATAATCTTATTAAGTAAAAATTCACACACCTAATCAAATGGGCATTTAAAAAGTCAGATTGCGAATAGATATGTTCAAACTCTTCTAGGTCATTTTTTAGTAACAAAAAAAAAAAAGAACTATGTCAATTGGACCTGCTTTAATACGATGACTGCCCTTGAATTTATACTAGATAACATTTTTGTTCGCTATGGAGATTCCGTATATAATCAAGTTATCGGAATTCTAATGGAGACTAACTGCATCGGAATTAAACATATTTATTCTTAAACCAGTTGTTGGCATGACATGGGTTATGTTCTTCTCATATATTTTATGACGGCATAATACTAAACCCCTAACAGGAGGGATTGTGCCTGATATTCATATGATGAAGACATAATCTTTCAATCAGTTTAATTGAGGTCTGGAGCTGGCATGTCAGTAACTGCTAGTAGTCTGTTGTTATTGATGTATTATTGTCATTTTGTTTATTTTCTTTTGTTTCCTATTCTGACATCGGACTCGGACTTCTCTTAAACTGAGTTTTACTGTGCGTACTGTTGTACGTTTGTTTTTTTCTACATTGGCTAGAGGTATAGGGGAAGGGTTGAGATCTCAAAAAGCATGTTTAACCCCGCCGCATTTTTGCGCCTGTCCCAAGTCAGGAGCCTCTGGCCTTTGTTAGTCTTGTATCATTTTTAATTTAAGTTCTTGTGTATAATTTGGAGTTTAGTATGACGTCCATTATCACTGAACTAGTATACATATTTGTTTAGGGGCCAGCTGAAGGACGCCTCCGGGTGCGGGAGTTTCTCGCTGCATTGAAGACCCATTGCTGGCCTTCGGCTGTTGTCTGCTCTATGGTCGGGTTGTTGTCTCTTTGACACATTCCCCATTTCCATTCTCAATTTTAACTGTGCACCACTTATTTCGGACCTGTTTCTGTATTGTTATGAGTTACAATTTATGACTAAAATCAACAAAGACCTATTGAAACAACATCTGATACAAAAAAAATTAATAATACTTTTAGATATTTGGATGATATATTGGCTCTCAATAATGGCGACTTCAGTATGTGCACTAAAGAGATTTATCTTGCTGAACTGACTTTAAATAAAGCTAATACTAACAATGAACACTGCCCTTTCTTGGATCTTGATATCTACATCTTTAACGGGAAGCTCAATACCAAATTTTATGATAAAAGAGATGATTTTCACTTCCTATAGTTAATTATCAATTTTTAGATGATGACGTTCTCTTGTCACCATCTTATGGGGTTTATATATCTCAACTTGTTCGATTCGCTCGTGTATGTAACAATGTATTTGATTTTAACGAAAGAAATATCTGCATTTCTGAAAAAGTATTAAACCAGGGTTTTCGATATCACAAACTAGTCAAAACATTTACTAAATTTTATCATCGGTACAAGGACATCATTCGTAAATATAAATCAACATACAGACATCTTATACGTTCAGGTATTTCACATCCAATCTTTCATGGTAATATTCTATACAAAGCACAAAAATGTCGGCATTCACCTCAAGAGCTAAACAAACCTTTAAACAGACTTATTCAGAAGGGATATAGTTTCGGTACTGTTGTCAGGTCAGGGATTGTGCATGATTTTCATATGATAAGACATAATCTTTCAATCAGTTTAATTGAGGTCTGGTTCTGGAATGTCAGTAACTGCTAGTAGTCCTTTGTTAATTTATGTATCATTGTCATTTTGCTTATTTTCTTTTGTTACCTTTTCGAACTCGGACTTCTTTTTAACTGAGTTTTACTGTGCATATTGCTGTGTAATTTTTATTCTACATTGGCTAGAGGTATAGGGGGAGGGTTGAGATCTCACAAAACATATTTAACATGTTTAACCCCGCTGCATTTTTGCGCCTGTCCCAAGACAGGAGCCTTTGTTAGTCTTGTATGTTTTTTTAATTTTAGTTCATTTACATATTTTGGAGTTTAGTGTGACGTCCATTTTCACTGAACAAGTACTCATTTTTGTTTTGGGGCTAGCTGAAGCCCGCCTCCGGGTGCGGGATTTTCTCGCTGTGTTGAAGATCCATTGGTGGCCTTCTGTTGTTTTCTTCTCTTTGGTCAGGTTGTTGTCTCTTTGACACATTCCCCATTTCCATTCTCAATCTTAGGTAACTGTCTGATTAAAATACAACTCACCTACTACCTTATAAAAATGAAGATGTTTTTAAATATGGTGTAACCCATACACATTGTCACAAGAAAAATAAAGTTAAAACCAAGAACAACTGTAGTATTTTCTTGTAAACAAACAAAATATAGTTTGTCTGGATATGTTATAGTATTCTTAGGTTGCTGTCTCGTTGAAGTACACTTCATCTTCTTCCTTTAATAATCAAGATTATTGTGACCATTGTGTATCCCATACACCAGATATTACTGATAGCTGTCATCAATCCAAATTTTCTCTAATAACAAAACTTCATAGCAGGATTTGTACACGCAACATCAGACAGAATACGAGACTGTGTACATGTTCTTGTTATGTAAATAGCAATTGCAGTGTACAATCAATAAGCAACTATTTGACAGCAATATCCGGTATAAAAAATGTGTACAAATACAAATATGTTATAAAGATATTTAACCTATGGTATTTGTGTTTCAATATTATTAATTAATTTTGTAATTTTTTTGTCTAATAGTTGTTTGCACTCACCTTAGTTTAATTGTTCTTACATATAGTTCGAGATTAATATCATAAGTTCATCGGTATTTTTACTTCAGAATGATTTTTGTATGTAATAGGTCTATCGTTACAAGAGGAATATGACTTAAAGAACACGTATGTCCTTAAGCCGTTTATGATGGATACGAAGTGATGTTTATTAGATCACAAAGTACTGAACAATAAGCTAATTACCATATTTATTATGAAATCGCGCTGATATTGCAGTTGTTATAGTCGAGTTAACAGTCATATTTAATGAGAACTGGCGATAACCCTTAGATCGCGATCGGTACTTTATGTCTTTTGTCTTCAAGTGACTTATGTTTTTGTCTTTATTTTGCACGATTTTGTGCATCGTGCCAATCAAATGAGTAAAACCATTTCTAACTGATTTTTTACAGTTAATGCATATATTGTGATGTTACATCACTGTTCCATGTAAGGGGAGGGTTGATCGCTCACAAATATGTGTAACCCCGACATATTTCTTATGTGTTTGTCCAAAATCAGGAACATGAGATTAAGTGGTTTTCCGTTGGTTGATATCTTTCATTTTTGTTTTCCGTTTGTTGTTTTGTTATTATTTCAGCTCATTGGTTTTTCTGTTTAAATTATTTCATTAAAATTCAAACTTCTATACAATTTCTGCAGCAACCGATTGGTATTCAATTTCTTTTACAAACTTCCCTGATATCATTTATAAATTTCCTTTTCAAGGTTTAAATATTTCAAAACTAAGCTCTTTAATAAAACGAAGGGAGTTCAATTTTTTTGATGATTATTTTATCTTTAATTTCAATTGTGCCTTTCATTACACATGTGTTACATTTCACAAGCATTTAACTTTTCATCATAAAGTCATTATCACTGTTCTAACTAGATTGACATATCAAGATCAAAGGCAAAATACTATTGAAATCACCGTTTGGGTTCACAAGTAACCATATGGTTATTACCATAGTAATCCCCGTGCTTGTGGTGTATGCCCTTATAATTTTTAATTATGGGTTGTTTGCCTGTGAGAGAGCTTTCACATGTTTATGTGAGCCAAGGCTCCGTGTTGAAGACCGTACCGTGACCTATAATGGTTTACTTTTATAAATTTTGACTTGGATGGAGAGTTGTCTCATTGGCACTCATACCACATCTTCTTATATCTATATCATCCACAAAGGTTGACTTGACTGCATCATAAGATACATCATTAATGGACTCATTTAAAACCAAATACAAAAAATACTAATTAAAACCAAGAACATCTGTAGTGCTTTCTAGAAAACAAACTAAAGATCGTTTGTCGATTTTACAGCATTCTTAGGTTGATGTCTGATGAAATACACTCACCTACAACTTTAAAAAATCAAGATTTTTTTTAACATTGTGTATCCCATATACATTGTCACAAGAGAAATATGACTATGATAGAACACGTATGTCCTTAAGCCGTTTATGATGATAACGAAATGGTATCAGATCATCAACTACTGAAATATAAGTTAGTTACCATATCATCAATGAAACTGCGCTGATGTTGCATTGGTTAGTCATGTCAGCAGTCGTTTTTTTTATCATAAAGCATTTCCAAACCTAAATATTTGAAAGTCAAGGATGAATGTGTGAAGAGCTATATAACCAAAAGAAGACTAAAAACAATAGCCAAGTTCCTCTAAGGTTAACTTTGCTTGTGAAATTTTTTTTCTTAACATTTTTTAATTTTCATCGGACATTTGAAAAAAAAAATATTATAAATCATTTCAGTACCAAAGCACTTACTACTGAGCTGATTGGCCTAGTGCTAGTAAATAAAGATAACACTTTATAAATTTCGTGCGTCCGAGCTTTCTTATAAGTTTGATTGTTACAACAACTAATATAGTTAACTTTTAACGTCTCAACATGTTTTATGAAGAAAAAATATTATTGTTTACTACGGCCGTTTTAAAAGGCTGAATAACAATCAAAGCATTTTTTTTTTATCAAAACGTATGTTGTTCATTAAAAACAATAATAAGCAAATATATATGTTTCAATTTCACATACAGCCTAAAAGAAAGAGTAGACGATCCTTGCTCCACTTATAGCACACGTCTAATTATTCCTTGCAAGTAAATATATATTGATAAGTCGCATTCGTTAATGTCACAATCGAGGAAAAGATCGAGGGGTTGCAGTGAAGACTAGTGGAGCATATCCGTGGTGATCATTGGTCATTGTTGTTTTAACTGTTTTACAGAATGTTTAACACATATATTAATTAATAGTAACACGAAATATTAGTAATCTCTGTCAGATTACCATTCAAAATAATAAAAAACTAAATTTTGACCCTGAAAACTTGGATTTCTCTAATATGTATGTGTGCCATTTTGATTCATAGTTTACTGTTGATAACATATAGTATATGACGTTGGCAAATCTATGTATCAATTTTTTTTTTAAATAATAAAGATTGATATTGGTGCATCCTTAAACACATTAATATCACGATAATCATAAGGGCGATCGATTTGTTATTACTTTCCAACTCGTCTTCTATTGATGCCAAAATAACGTACAGAGCTGTATGTGAAAAAAAAACTAAACAAATACAATACTGAGATTAAGTACAATGCATTGTGTTACAAAATAAACAGAATAACACTAAGCGGTCATCATGACTGTCTTGCAATAATCATCAAACCAGACACAAGTGTCGAAACCACTTAAGTGTCATAAAATACACGTAAATCAAGGAACAACTTCATCACAGTTGTTTGTGGCAAAATGAACTTCAACAATATTTACGGGTTAACTCCTTTTGGAAAAAGAGCTTTTTATAACATTGATACAATGGGAAGGACAAACAATAAGTCGCAGAACAGACATACTATGGTCAAAACAAAAGAGGAAAAAAGACAAATAACTATCCAAAACACTGTACGAATAAATTGAAACAGCTCCCTCTTGACTGGTGTAAAAGCCACATTCGGTCATGTAACAATTCATATAAAAGAACAGAGTTCCAATGTCCCCCGCGTTGCACATATTTTGTCTATCTAAGGTACAAGGGCAATAACTAAAAAAATACACTTTTTTGTTCTTTAAAATAGTTCCTAAATATCTTAGAGAAATGAATGCTTCAGAGCAAATTCAATGTGATTTCCGATATAATTCATATTTCCAAGGGCATAACTCGTTAAAAATATTTGATCAGCAATTATTTTCGAAAGTTCCAAAGACATTGTTTATATAAACCGGTAATATAAGTTTCATAAAATTCTCGCAAGAATTGTACACATGAGAGCGCTAACGATGCATTTTTGCACATAATCAATGTTTCCAAGGTGCACAACTCTTTTAAAAATAATTGATCGGCACTGATTTTCGAACTCGTCCGAGACATTGCTGATATAAGCCTATAATATAAGTTTTATAAAAATCTGCCAAGAATTGTACATGAAAGAACGCTAACAAGACCGGGCGGAAGGACGCACAGACGGACATACTGACGCTCGGTATTTCTCTGTCCCCCTGCAACACGTTGCGCGGGGGACAAAAATGAGGAGATTTCTTGGGTCTACGACAAGTGGAACATATCCTTGGTCATCAGTGAGATGAATATTCCATAGTGGTCAACCAAACAATGATTAGGTTCTAATTTGTGAAAGTCATCAATTCTAATTTGTAAATGCATCAGGATTTCAATCTCCTCATATACACAATTTATATGAAGAACTCATGCAGATTCAGCGCCCATTCTTGTTGAATTTATACAAAACTTTTTTTTTTCAAAACGTAAGATAAATACGGATAATCTTATTTCAGGTAAAAATGAAATGTTTTTATATTACTGAGGCAGGCAGATTCTCCTAAGATATAACTTCCTCTTTGATGTAGTACTAGTATTTTTTACTTCCGTTACATTTTTCAACTGTTTGCGCTAGTATGGTATCTTCTCAAGTTGTCATGAAAAGTGTATTACATACGACAAGAAGATGCAATCTGATTCAAATTCAGATCTATCGTGAATTGCTTTCTCTAATAACAATGATTAAAATAAAGTTTTTTTTGTCGTATTAACATTTTGTTGAAATTTGACGGCGTACCAGACTCGCTTCGCTTTAAAGAGAATGTTCTTGCTTTTAAATGGTAGCTTTTATAAAGTACAATAGTTTTATTTGTTCTTGTTTTAGTAGTAATTCATACTTTTAAGCAAATAAAACGAATATTTCTTAGTCTTATAAATAACAAAGGTATGGGGATAAACGTCAATAAACTCATCATAATAACGAGAAAGCACCCCATCGACAAAAAAATAAAAATTGCAATTAGAGGACAATATCCCGTCTTTAGACATGTATCTATACAAAATGTCATGCTCCAAATAGACCGACCTCTAATAAAGTTTTGAATAAGTTAAAAAGTAGTGATCAAATATCTACCATCAACTCTAATGTATCCAAATAACAAAACTCATTAAGCCATGACATAAGACAAACACTGACTAGGTATCTGATATGGAATAGGTACTGACTATTTGTTTCCACTTTCTAACATAGTCTGACGTTAATCTTATTTTTTAATTTGTCTCTTCACTGCTGAAGTTTTTTATGTGTAGAAAAGGTCAATTATTAAAGGATGATTAATTGATTGATTGATTGATTCATTCATTCATTGATTGGTGGTTGCTTTACGCCGCCTCAGCACAAAAAGGCTATTTCGAGGCGATATTACAGGATGAACATCACTTATCATAGATCACGTATATGTGAGATAAGAGTATTTGTGAGATCACAACCGACAGAAAGATTAGTTAATTACAATATTTATCAATGAACAGGCTGGTCATGCATTTTACATGATTTATACCATTACATAACGTAGTGACGATCAATTTACTCTATTTTCGAAGATAACTTTTAAGTGCATCAAAACAACAGAAAAACCTGTTCACCGAATTATACATAAAACAAAAACAAAACACTCTGTGAGAAAATAACACATCATGTTTTATAATATGCATTGCCTGAAACATCTTACCTGTTTGACGTCCTTGAGTATTTCTTGATCTTATAATATTCATCATCCTGGCATGTTGTTGCGGTGTCATGTTATTGGCAGGCGGAGTCTGGGCTGATTGACCAATTATATTGTTACAAATTACAATAACTATTATCAGGAGGAGAACCTTGCTTCCATCCATTGTTTCTATTAAATAGAATTATTATTCTGATGTAAATATGTATTAACAAAAACACCGAACTGTTACGTATATTCAAAAAAGGGGTAACCAATCAAAGCTGAAAAAAAATCAAACGCTCGACTATGTCAACCAACAGAACGAGTGAAAAGCCACGGTCATTTTCCTGATTTAGTATAGTCATTTTACGAAGAAAATACTGGGTAACACCTGAATTTGTAGTTAGCTAAACCTCCAACTTGTATGACAATTGTTTATAATTTATTACTCTAATTTTGTTCAAAACTTTCTTTTATCCTCGTTAAAGTTGATACAGCAGAGGCCATACTTTGTTAAAATTTTCGCATGTACTTTTAAATAATTTTATTCTATATTACAGACTGTTATACAAGGCTGCATAATAATATTATCATTTTCTGGTAAAATATGATTAGAACTGAAATATTTTTTGGGCAAATGAGAAGTCCCAAATTTTCAAAAAAAAACACAAAATATTCAGTTAGCTTTGTAAATGAGTATAACAAGTTAAAGTAACAATTAAAGGAAATATAGGAACTTTAAAATGTCTCATAAGGATATTGGACGAAAACGTTCGAGCTTTGCGCTTTTATAATTTTACAGAAAACGAAACATATTAAATAATAAACGTTGCAGTCACACAGTATATGAACTTGGCACACTTATCGTAAATAATACAAAGATTGATATTCGGTCGACCCTAATACACATTAATATCACAATGACTGAGAGCTATTTCATGTTAGTTTTCCATTTGCAATTAATTAATGTCAAAATAAAATAAGTGAAATAACTATAACTTTAACTTCATAAGAATATTTTTTTCTTAAAATCTTCATAACTTTTTATATGTTTGTAAATATTCAGCTGACATTTGGTTATACTTTTTGTAAGTGATTAATTGTAAGTTGCAGATAAAGTTATTAATTTTGTTCTTTTGACGGAATTCTTCCTTTGGATTAGGAAAATTAATTGAAATTGTACTTGTCACGATCATTTTTGTATTGTAATTCCTGTCACCTCAAATAAATTCCCAGAAAAATAGGTTCGTCTAACAATTTGGCAGCAGGTATTGACAAACAGTGGATGAGCAATGGTATGGACCCATAATTTCTAAGATACCAACTCTAAAGCTGCATTTGAATGAAACGCTTTTCTCGACACTTCAGCAGGATCAACAACATAATTCTAATTTATATCATAGGTCTTATTTGAAAATATAAGGCAATCAGTTGACAGATAGAATATAAATCATGATATCATGTGTCTTACATCATTCCTAAATTACATTATCTTTTTAGATCACTAGGTCAAGTAATCTTTTGTCACTACCAATCGTCCTTCATCGTAAACAGTTAATTTGAATCGATGATGTCAAATAGTATCCATCTTGACAGATAACTGTCCATGATAGTTAAATGAAAAATATGACCATTTACTATTACCAAAAGCGGGGACTTCACTTGAAAATAATCCATTTGACAATCGCTGCATTGATGCTTTAGACAATTATATTTGAATTAAAGACAATATGAACCAGATAGATCCCTGGTTAAATCATTTCACAACAGTTGACTTTATCTTACAAGCCTACGAAAAACATACAGAAAACAATTTTCTGGCGAACTACTTCATTAATTGTAACTAAACAGATGTAAATTCTGTTTTTACTGTAAGGTACTTACTGTCTGTTGTTACGTTGGTGCTGATAGACTTTCCACTATGACCACTCGAAGAACTTATTTATTACGATTATGGTAAATATGTACAAAACGAGTGAATTCCTGTGAACTGTAAATGACAAAAATGGTTCCTTTGAAGTACTGTCCAAATAGAAGAAATGAGGAAAGAGTTGGCAAACGTCTGAACCTCTAAATCATTTTAATATAGAAATCTAAACAAGTTTTTTTTTATAATGTATAATGTAGTTTTATTAATGAGTCTTTATATATCTTTAATTGTATCGGATGTTTTCTGGTGATCATTGAATAACTTATGACTAACGCCATACGGAAACAATTAAAAAAACAAACAATGTCCACTGATCAAATTTATATGTTTGTTTAAGGATCAAATGTAACACTTTTAGAATCTTAGTGTAGTCTGATAAACTCATCATAGATTGCAGGATTACCATTAAGAACGCCTGACGCGCGTTTCGTCTACAAAAGCCTCATCAGTGACGCTCGAATTAAAAATATTAAAAAAGCCCAAATAAGGTACGAAGTTGAAGAACATCGAGGAACCAAAATTCTGAAAGGTTTTGATAAATACAGCTAAGGTTATCGTTTCCTTGGGAAGAAAATCCTAAATCGAAAACATTTTGTAAACAGTTAATTCATTAATTAGTATTTAATAGCCAGGCAATTTGTCTGCTTTCCCAAAAAGGAATCCTTCTTTTCAGCTTTACTAACATTGATCCTCCAATATGACATTGTTAACAAATGTCAGTATACGATTCATTTTTTTATTTCCCTTTGTTCAATGTCCCACGTTCAATGCCCAAACATTTTCCGATGAAAGTTGCTTCTGAAGTTTAATACAGAATAACGCATTTAAAACAAATTTACTTTGATTCGTATGAGGATATTTATATATCTTTCATTCAAATTACAATTCGAGGTTTAGAATCTCATGCATTCAAAGTAACATGTGTTTCAATAGAGTAGTGATTGACTCACAGTGTCCTCAACAGTATCTATCAAATGGTGTATTTTCATCGTTGTTTACGAACAATGACAATCTTCAAATTCTGAAACGTTGAATATCAATTTAGAATATAAAAGTAAATTGTTGAAAAAGATTTTTTTTTTAAATAGGAGAGAGCTACTTACATGGTTTTACTTCAAACGCTGGTAGTTCAGTTCTCTGTTTATATCTGAAAATACCCTAGTATTTATTAACGTTGATACATGTACATATTATGCGTATCCGTCTACAAAGAAATTTATCAAATTTGAAATATTACAAAAAAAACAGATACTGCAGTAATTAAAAATGAATGATTAATTTGTTGTTTACCTGAAATTATTGTTCGCTGTGACTTACAATATTTTGAAGATCCTTTAATACGCATGAAAATGACCCTTAAGTTCAAGCATGACTTGTTCGTCATCTGTTTTACGCACATTGTTTTATTAGTCATGCAAATTGTTTGCACATACTACAGCTCAAGTTTACAGCTTGGATTTGCTGTTTGTTTCATATCATATCAATCATATATGGAAAGATCAAAATGCTTTTTCAAAGAAATAACTGCTCTGTGCAATGAAGCATAAATTAGCTGAGAGATATATAAGATCCCGGAGAAAACGTTTAATAACCAAAAATTCCTAAATGAAACAAGTGAAACAAGTGAAACCAGTGAAACTTGCAGACAATTCTTAAAATATATTATGAATTAGAAATGTTTTGTCTGTAGATGTAAATCTATATATTCTATCTAATTCAACAAAATGAGATTAAGGTATACATGGTATAGTATATTAAACATTAAACACGAGAGTACATCGTAAATCAACCTACAAAAATAATTATGTCAACTGTGTAGAAGAGAAGTGGAAGATGAATTTCATTCCGTAATAAAAATGAAAGATTTTGGTTAACACATACTTTTTGACGAAGTAGAAAGTATAGTCCCATCGTTCAATTTGTCTGATGACAAAAACTTTGAAGAAGGACAGCCAATATTTAACCCCTGAAATTACAAAAATTATAAAAACTACCAATTGAAAGAATTTCAAAATTATGTTAAATAAATGGCTAATTATATTCTGGATATTGTAGTGCAAAAGGTCACTTTTAATGTTATAAACATGTTAAAATAAACATATGTTACCTCAAATGACTATTTGGCGTATAGTTATTGGTCAAAATATTTATTAGCCAAAGCCTTACCAAAAAAATAATCTACAAGCATTAGAATCTCAAATTCATAAAAAAAATCGTTTACGGGCAATGTTTCGAGTCCAGTGCTGGTGAACTCTAAGCATCAAGGGAATCAACAGCTTGTTCGTCAGGGCTTGACATGATTTCAGAAAAAATTTTGTCTAAAATTCCCCATGATAAATAAGAAATTACTAAGAAATTAAGATTGACGTTAGCTGCAATTGGCCTTTTTTGTAGTTTTCTTTTGGTCTTATATCTCTTAGCTTTTAAAGCACGTTCTTTGTATTTTTACATCCCTGGCTTTCAAATATATAGGTTTATAGAGCGTTCTGATAAAGGTAAATCCAGTAAAGCAATTCGGACGAACTAAATTTCTAACATGCTATTTTCATTTGGTAGCAAAATACCTTAGGTTCTAACATTATTAAATCAACTAAAAGCTGTTGATTCCCTTGATGACTAAGAACCTTAATTTTTGGGTAAAGCTTTGGCTAATATCTTAGTATTAGTGACACAATTTAGAAATGATGCTATTTTTGCAGATTTTTAATTTTTTTTTTTACAAAATGACAAAGGTTTGAAGAACATGCAAATAAGAAGAACATCAATAATATCTATACCGATGATTGATACTCTTTTGTCATATAGACATCGGAAGTTTTTTCCGGGGGTAACAAAATGTTGCCTTATCATACCTTCTCCTATATATTTACATTTAGGGATAAAATTAAGAATGGAAATAGGGAATGTGTCAAAGAGACAACAACCCGACCAAAGAGCAGAAAACAGCCCAAGGCCACAATGGGTTTTTGTTAAAAGGGTAAATCATTTATATATATTCTTAGAAATAACTTACCTGAAAATATAAAGTTGAGTAATAATATATAAGTTATTGACTATAAACTATTCCATGTTAGTTTTGGTTTTCCTTGTAATACCTTTTATTACTGAATAAGAAACAGATATTCTTAGAAATGTTGTTAAATTCGTATACTTCATAAATCTACACTCCAAACCATCAGTTTTCTACGCTGAACACAAAGTTAGTTTGCCAATAGAAATCAACCTTTCGAACTTTCGTTACTTAATGTAAACAAAGTTTTAATTTCTGGCCGTAACTGGTATTTTTCTTTACTAGAAGCTATAAAATAATTCTATATAATATGTATAACATGTGTAAGGTGATGGAAATGTTTCGTAGTGAGATATAGTAGAACACTTCCAGAATCGTTATGTAAACAAAAACTAATTAATAAAGGGTATTGTAATTCATTGAAATAAACATAACGTAATCAATAAAACATCATAGAGAACTCAGTATTAGTAAGGTTATATAAAATTCAACAACAGGTATTTTGCAAACAAATATCTATAACTAGATACAGAACTTATATGGAGGAATAATGATAATTTATGGCAAGGAAGGACTTATACCATAAAAGCAAAACAAAGAAAAGGAACTATGCGTATTCGTATTTAATAACTAACAGATAAAATATGCAAAGCTATCAATGGAAGAAAATATCTGAAGGCAATGTCGGTTTTATTGGAATTTTAACTTTATCCTTTCATATTTAAAATTATAAATGTAGCATGTATTTGCCTATATGCCTGCTTCTTCAAACGACAATTATCTATACAATAGCTATACAAACATGTACAAATTATCACGCATTTTTTAATACAAAATACCCTTCGTATGTATCCAACAATGTCTGTCTATGAGAGTTTATGATGAAGGTTAATACAGAAATCCTCGCCTAAAAAAAACGGTAAAAATATCAAGTCGCAAATAAAGTCATTGTGATTGATAAAAAAAGTACTTAACAAAGGATATCTAGAAATAATCGTTCTATATTTCAATTCGGTGTACATACAAAGAAATTAGCCTTAAAAATTCAACTGTATTCTGAAACGCAGAATTATCAAGTCGAAATTATTACTGAAATTACCGATGAAAAAAAAAGTTTTAGCAGACAGCTTCTTACAAATCCTTATTGAAACCTCCATGTCTGGGTAATTCTAAAATAAATTCTTGTGCGTGTATGTGCTACCTTCTAGAGGGGAACTTATTGTTTAATGTTTAAAAAAATGTGAAATATCAAAAATACCGAACCCCAATGAAAATTCAAACGGACAGTCCCTCAAATACTTCAAATGAACGGAAAACAACTGTCATATTCCTGACTACCAAAAATGGACTTAACAGTAAAGGTTAAAAATATACAAAGACATATATATATTATGGTACTGAGATGACCAATTATGTCAAATTCGAGGTATAATTCTAAAAATAAGGCGGAGGAAGCCGTGTCTGTTGTTTCTTCAATTTCTAGTTCTGGAGGATATGTTAATGGAACCCAATCAGAAAAGTTTGAATTGTTAATGGAAAGAACATAATCAATATATCTGAATGTAAAATTAAATGATCTGGCTTCTTCGATGATCTCGTTTTTGATAAGTGTCTGAAGGAACTTCGACTCATATAAGAATAAGAAGAGGTCGGCAAGGAGAGGCGCAGTTCGTTCCCATAGGAATGCCGACAATTTGTTGAAAAAGTCTACCCCTAAATTCAACAAATATGTTGTCAATAAGAAACTCCAGCATTCTGATCACTTGTTCTGCTGTGTAGCATGTTTTACCTTTTTTTGTTCACTATTAACAAAATATGCCGTATGATATACTAAACCAATAAATTTATAGCATATGCTACCATTTTTATATTGAAAAACATCGTGGATTATTTCTTTTAGACGATTTTTCAATTTCACATGGGGAATGGTGGTATACAGGGTTGAAAAATCAAAAGTTTTGATAGAATTAATATCAGAGAAAGATCGATATTTAAAATTATCCCGAAGTTCTTTAGAGTTTTTAAGAATCAACATATGGTTAATACCACAAAGCGAGTAAACAATTTCAAAGTATTTGATAAGACCCTCTTTCACTACAGACAGTGTTTTTGTCAAACTTATGGACAATTCCTTTGTAGAACATGCAGATAAGCCGGCAATGTACTGAAGTTTAGGTATCCAATATAAACCAGTTAAGTCCTCAGATTTGCTGTTCACTGAAATGTTCATTGAAGCCATGAAGGACTTATGATTAGCCAAAATCTCATCTTTGTCAAATGATATGTTTTTGTAAGTGGGATTACCTAGGTGCTCATGCATTTGTTATTCTTTTACAAGACACTTGTAGTTGTACGATTTACATACAAAAACAATACTATTTGAGCTTTGTCAGCAGGAACAACAACCTATTTATCGTGAAGAGACGATAGACATTTCACAGCTTCTTTGTCTCTAAAGATGGACTTTGGTCGATCATTCACACAGTTTTTAAAATTTATCACGCGCCCAGTTTCATTTTAAAAATATTACAATGATTGTTCAACAGGCAAAGAAACGAACGAATGCATGTCGACGGTACCAATGCTACACATAGATGATGTATCAAATAAGAGGAAAGATGATAAAACGGCTACAATCAAAAACCATGCATCATCGACTAAAACCAACAGGCAATTGTCGAAAAAACACTACACATAAAACTAAACGCTCAGCAACATAAACCCTAATCAAAATTTACAAGGATTAACTTAAGAGCTTTAGAAGAGGGAAGCTGTTCGTTTCAACTGATTACACCCGACATGTTGATCATGGCAAGTAAAAAGTAGGTAATAGGTCGCATTCGATGGTATTATAGGCGTGGAAAGAGGTTGAAATTGTATCTTTTATAATCATTATTTGATTGGTGGTTTTGACTCAAAAGCCTTTTTTTTCATTTTGCAGGTGTTTTGAAAAACAAATACATTTACAATGATTATTTGTTTGGATATTCGGACCTTGATATTTAGCCCATTTAATGTCAAAGAAAGGACAAAATACAAAATTTACATTTATGCAATTGATATTTTATTCTAATGATAATATTCGGAAGGACAAGATTAAAATATTTCCTCTCTCTGTTTAAATGCCTTCTGTTTTAGCTATGTAAAATTTGAAATAAATCTAAAAGT